TTTCAAAATAAGCTCCACTGCGGAAAAGAATGAGATATCAACTGCAGTTATTCACATCTCAGTGCCCTTCACCTCTCCTAAAAAGTGAAGTCAATAAGAGTTGGGGAGAGATAGCAAGGGGAGAGATGCCAGATGTAGGTGATGGAGAGGAAGGCAGCAAATCACACTGCCACGTGTGTGCCTGTGCAACAATCTTGCATGTTCTTCACATGTACCCCAAAACCTGAAATGCAATAAAATAAATAAATGGGAAAAAAAAGAAATACATATTAATAGTATTTCTATATTTCAGTACTTTTGTCAGAATAATAAAACAAAATAACTGTTTTTTTTTTTTAAAGAAAAGATGCAAATAAAGAATTTTAGTATACTTTAAAAAAAAAAAGAACCTCCATATAACCAAGAATTCTAGAGGAAATTACAGTGTTATGACTTCAGCCTTACTGTCATAAGACTGAATTGTAATAATATTACTAGCATATAATTTTTGATTATGAAAATAATTTAAAATTAAGTGATAAATCCACCAACAATGAATAGATTAATCCAAATGGATATTCTCTCTATATTGCAGGAGAAAAACTGAATTTGTAAATAAAATATAATTCTGAGTAAGCAGTTTAAGGGTTATTATAAAATTGTAATGATGTAACATCTTTCTAAATATATAGAGTTTATTTGTACAGTTTTGTTTTTTTTTTTTTTTTTAAATTGGATTTAAAGTTTATTTTACTCTTCTCACTTTAATGTGCTTTTTGGTGTTAAAATAGTTTTCTGGAATCCTCTAAGAGTTTGTGTCAGTCTCTGTTCTTATGTTCATTTGGGACCCTGTCTTTTACTATTCAGAATTCTCTTGTTAATTTACTCCAAGCTTAACATCTAACTTAACATCTTAGTACATTTAAAAATTGTTGAGATCTTGCATAGCCTTATAAAAATATAGGTTTTAGAGTCAGAATGACCTGGGGTTGGAATTCCAGTCCTACCACTTAATGTATGTAACTATACACTTTACTTAACCACAGTAAACTTCCACTTACTCATCTGTAACACTGAAGATGGACAGGAGTACTAACTTGAGGTGTTTTACACTGATTGAGAGGATAATTAATGCATGTGAAGTACACATCACAGCAACTGACACATAATCTTTTTTTTTTTTTTTTTTTTTTTTTTTTTT